AATGACTTGGGGTAAACATCTAATGATTTTCCTTGTGGTGCGGGGTCGTTGGTGTAAGAATTTAGCACCTGCAGGTACTATTTGATAAAATTGAAAGGCGAATTATATTAAAAATATAATATTAAATTTTAAATTCGTGAATGATTTGACATTCACTAAAATTTATGTAGTGAATTAAATTAAATTGTTAGATAAGTACACAAAGTTGACATATGAAAATAAATTATGTTTATTTTAAAATTATTTATAAAATATGTATTTATCTAATAAAAAATCATGAATATCAATAAAAATAATTCATAACGTAGACCCACAACATTTGGTCAGTAAGTTATAATTGTTGAGATTCTTGTATTTAACGAGTGAGGGAAAAAAGTCGTATTTAGTATACAAGCTCCTACCTCTTACAGGATATTACCCATCATGTATCGGTGGGCAGACAGATGAACACTTGCCACAATTTAATCCCTACCGTCGTCTTTCTACTGAAATTAGCTTGTGGCTTGTGGCTTGTGGCAGAACTCATGTGCAAGAGTTCAATATCTGCAAGCTGAAAAATTGTTAAAGAAGGGAACTATGGAATTTGCTTAAGTCTTCCATCAGTTTCAATGAATGTTCATAACCATTTTCACTGGTCCCTAAGCAAATTTGATACCTTGATAATAAAACTGTGTGTATTGTATAGTGTTCGTGTGTGTTGTAGTATCTCTGTGTGGGCATGTGATTGATTTGTGTGTGTAAGCCAAAAAAGGCACGAGGAAGAAAGAAGAATGGGAACAATGATACACTCATCTTTGTGTGTAAGCCGAAAAGGCACGAGGAAGAAAGATGAATGGGAACAATGATAGATTCATCTTCTTTTCTTTTTTTTCCTAATTTTTGTTGGACTTTAGTAAGTAAAATCTGAATTTTGGTTGACTTTGAGCTTCAATTAAAGTGAGACCCACTCGTTATTTTAAGCAAATTTTCATGGATTCGTATTCTATTCCGTAAGAGAAATAACGTAGCATATTTACTTGTTCAAATCAAATAAAAAATAAATGCGAAAATAGACTCTAAAATGATTCACTTGATTTGTGAAAATAGAGGTTATGCAATATGTGATTTGACACAATTCCAAATTAGTTTTGGAAGAAATTCTACGTGAGCATATATAGATTAAATTTGCTCTATGAGATTGGCTCCAAGGGATACTACAATTTTATGAGCAGAACAAACACCTACATGTCATCGGTTTGACCAAACACACGCCCCGCCACGACCTGACTCGATTAGGCTTAGACACGAGTGTGGGTGTGAGTTAAACCTTAAACTGGAATTTAATTTCTGTACCTGATATGATTACCCCAATCTCAAATATTTTCTAAATGTTTTGTAATCTCTAACCTTTTAATGGTAGCAATATGTGTGTGTGTTAATCCTTAATTCTGATCCTTGCCCTACTTCTTGCTTCGTCAAGAATATGCTGTATTTCTGATGTTGATTAAACTTGTAGTACTATGTGATTGTGAAATGTAGTTCAGAAATTACTAAACAAACAACTGAGTGTAGAAATGGTAATGCCATGTTGCAGGGAAGCGGTTTTACTACTAATTTGTTGTTTTCCATCTCTTTAGATTGCAAAATTGGGTTCTAGTCGAGACTCAAGAGTGATGATGCCATCTCTGTTACCAGTAATGGCAAACATCGTGTTGCTGGTGCTTGATGTTCATATTTTGGATATTTGTTATTTGTGTTATGTTGGAATATGTTATACTATATTAAGTTGTATTAGATTATGTTGGATTATTTAAAATATTGTTGGATTATTTAAAATTTTGGATTATGTTGATTTGAGCTTAGGTTTAGACTTAAGCTTGAGCTTAGGCTTGGGCTTGAGTTTGGGCTTGGGCGGGTACGGGAGAAGCGGGAAGAGAGGTAGAGATTAGAAATTTATCCGCAGACAAGGTTGAAGATGAAAACTATACCCGTTAATAGAGGTGTTCACCCTACCCTACGGGTAGAAAATATGCTCTCCCATCTTCCTACCCGATACTTTGCGGAAGAATTTTTCCTGGCTTACCCTACCTGACAGGTGTGGTATTCCTACCCGATTAATCGAGTAGGAAATCTGGTAAACATTTTTGTAACAATTAATTTTTGGATCATTTTAACAATTTAATTAAATAACATATACCAATTTAACAATATAATAAATCAATTAACACTAAAATCTAAAACAACTGCAACAAGAATTATAATAAAACACAAGAAAGTATGAACATCAATCCACCATAATTGTTACACAAATGCAATAACAATTAATTTAAGTTTAAACTTTAAACCACATGAAATACATTAAAATCATAATTGCTCTGCCTGTGGTTAGGAGATATATATATATATATATATATTTGAGGGTTGGGTAGGGTAAAAATGCGAAAATTGATGACCATTCCACATTCCTACTCGAAAATTGTCGAAAGACCGAAAACTCTTTCGTATTCCTACTTGATTTTTGCGGCTAATTGTTTAGTAGGGTATGGTAGGGTCGGGTAGGGTAGGAACTTGCGACCGGTCGAAAATTTGAACACCCCTACCCGTTAACGGGGATGGACGGAGTTTTTTTAAACAGGTACAGGGATGAAGACTATAACCCCCACCTCCACTTCGGTCCATTGACATCCCTACCTGTATTTGGAGAGTACAAAGCATAATTTCTAGTTCGTTGGGCGAGTGGACTAAAGTACTACTTCTATTTGTGTGAAAATCATTATATCATAGAAGGTAGACACTTTGATTTTTATAAGTACCATGTATGGAGGCAAAATCTGTCTTAAAGATATAGTGTCAAAATCTGTCCTTAAGATACTTTGATTTTATTTTATTTTATTTTTATTTTTAAATTTGTTTAATATATATATATATATATATATATATATATATATATATATATATATATAAATACATATTTTATCATTGTATTTTTATATGAAACTAATGTATACATAATATATAGACAAATAAAATATATTTCAACACAAATAATTAATTATCTATCTACTTTCCTTTTAATTTCAGAGGGATTGATTTTGATGAGTTGAAAAGAAAGTCAATTCATTCACTTTTTCATCATTTTTATTTTCTTTTCTTACCAAAAATAATATTTTATTTATTCTTTCAATTTTGTATCCTTTTATTTTTTCATCATACCAAACGGAGCATTAATGAAATATAAGTCTGATTGGTGTACTTAAAGCAAAATAATTTCTAAGTAATGTACTCATAACCAAATTTTCGTTTTTGTTTTTAGTTATGAGGGTGGGCTTTATTCCAAATACCTAAAACTATAATCTATATTTATATTTATATTTATACTACTATAAAATATCAATTATCTTTTAAAATTTTTGATTTCTTTTTTTATCCCTCAATAATACAATTAGGTATTTTGTTATTATGTCATATGTTTTGCTACAGAAAACGATATCTTTTCATCTCCTTTTAACATAAATATTACTTTTTAGAAAGTTAATCGACACTTTTATTGTCAGATATCCCTTTTCACTTACCTACTGTTTGATGATAACTATGCAAATCTTTTCAGATTCGATCCACCAAGAAAAATGTTTTGAATCTCTTTCATTTTCCTTTCTAATGGAAGTTGCTGATATTGAGGAGTTGGTGAAAGGTTTGGTGTCTTTTGCTTTTTCCATATATTTCGAAGTAATTTGTTAAGTAATATTTGATCCCCGATTAAGGAAATCAGTCACGTCACAAGAACACGACGGCACCACTAATGTGCCTCTTAACCATGATTGCTTCACTGAGGTAAATGTTTCTTCTCTTCTTGAGTTCCAGCTTTTATCCAGTTAGATTTTCTCATCTTGGGCGTTCAATATTTCTTCCAATGGAATTAGAAGGAAATCAGTTCATTACTTAAACCTCTTATTCTAATTCCAAAACTCGAGATCCATGAATAAATATTTAATGCAACACTTACCATAATTGACGTATTCTACCAGCAATTTGTAATAAACTACTCACTAGGACTGCTGAACTATACTTAAAGTAGATGCGATAGTTATTATATATAGTGGTTAATGGTGGGCATAAAAGTAGAAGACACTTCAGTCACCCCAAATTCAACTTCAAGGTATTTGATTTGAATTTTCTATAGTAGTCACATGTTTGTGGAATATATAGTCTAAGTCACATGGTTAAATGTATGTTTGTGGCAAACATATTAAAATAACAATCCATTGAATGGCGACCAATAGACTGGTAGTGATCCTTGAAGGACATTGGAGAATCTGGTGGAGGGGTAGCAATATCCTGCCTCAAAGCTGTTACTTTATGCAGACAAGAGATGGTGGTGGAACAACTGTATATAAAGGGGCAACTGATAAGATAAATGCATATATAGGCAACAATATATTTATATAAACTGGTATGCAAGGGGGTAAAACGTACTGGTCCACCATTAAGAGGAGTAAGGCACCAAAATAGGTATGGTGGTAGTACAAAGTGTAAGAATTTATTTAAGGATCCGTATATAAAATTTAGAACACTTAAATTAAAAAGTTTAGTACATACATGTATGAGTTATGATACTTGATCTCCGGATTTCTTTTGTGAAAAGACAAAGTCTTCCCCTCCTACTTCAAAGTAATAAATGACTCTCAATGGGATAAGTCAAATTAAATTATGAAGTGAAGAAGGGATCTAGTCCACTATTTATAATGAATCTAATGGACTCTCTTATTATGGACCACAATTATATTAAGGTATACACTTAATCGCTTCAACTACATCAATTAAAAAGATGTATATAAGTCCATTAAAATATATCACTTAATAATATTAGGCTCATCTCATTTGATCATAAATTCAACTTATTTTTCACAAATAAAAAATTAACTATTAATTAATAAAAATTCTAACATAAAAAAATTCCAACACAATGAGCATTTGCTGCTCACCACTTGTATCAAACTTGAGAGACACCTTTCATTTCTTTCAGAGAGTAGTATAATACACTAATTTTTTAATCACAACTGTAGTATGTGTGCACGAACCAATAATTCCATTTGCCATGCATATATTACATGGATAACACTATCCTAAAGAAACAACTATTTTTAATGACATACGATTAAAATTGTGTTTTTCTATAGTATAATAGGTTGGACAACCCATATCATACACATACACATACACCGGTCGACATTTCTCTGCACTTACGCTGCTATATATACTCAAGATTTGAGAGCTTACATGGCCTCGTAATATATAATATAATAATATTTTATCTTCCCGATCCGTCACAGTACAACAAGCAATCAAAGGAATGTAGTTGGTGGCAAGCGTAGAATAGAGGGACTAGAAAGAGACTATCTATCCTTTTGTTTTCCTGTGTATGTATAAATATAAATTTTTTATACCTTGCCTACGTTTTTGAGTAACTATAACTAATTTACATTTAGTCTAACTCATTGAATGGATCAAAAACTGCTGCTAATTTTGAACCTCCGGAAACCATAATTTCAGAGGCGGACCACAAACGGGCTGCTTCGGTTGAGTTGGAACCCAATTTCGACGTTGAAGCTTCATTGCAGTCTGCGAAGTACTTCCCACTTACGTTCTTAAGTCTAGGATTAGTTGCCACGTAACAAGTCGTCGCAGCTGCCTGAATAAGAATTATCAAACATTTGAATCTCAATCAGATGCCGTACCAATGCCTGAATAACAATTAATAATTTTCAATAATTCAAATAATAATATTGACGAATTATAATTGGGATCAATTAAATAACATACCATAATATATATATATACACTATAAAACATAACCATCAATCATACTAATGCTTTTTGATTTAAGGCTTCAGCATTGAACACTACTTTACTAGTACTCGTTCTACCTGAGGAATCGTCTTGACGAATTTTGAACCGAAGAAGAATACCAGATCTGCATGTTTTTTTAACATAAAAAGTTCAGAAGTACTATAAAGGGTTTGTGTGACTGCATAATAAAGACTCAGTTTTAGCAGATTATTGTGGTGACCAGTGACGAGGCCTTCACGGTCTCTGGTGAGTCTGGTTTTCACAATTCCCGGATGAACACAATTCACGGTCACATTTGCCTCCATTTGCTGCGTGCAAAATCATCCACCGGGAAAGATCAAATGTTAATTTCAGAATAAAAAACAATAACAACTATCGATCTTGTCTGGAAATGAATCAAAATGATCACCTTCAGTCTGTGAGCAAGTTCCTTGGTGTGCAAAACGTTGGCCAGCTTCGACAGGGCATAAGCTCGTGTCGCATCGTACCAACTATAGGAGACAAAGACAAATATATGTCAGAATAAAGGCCAAGCTAAGCAGGAAGCACTCTCTCTCTCTCTCTCTCTCATTATTATTGCTTTCAGAACCAGCGGATCCTCCGCCTTGAGTCTTGTTGCATTTTTATTTAGTTCCCAATTTTTCCTGTACTTTCTTCCTTTTTCAAATATCGATCTCACCTTTTGTTTCGAGTTATCTCCCCGACACTACGAATTACATCGCCGGAAAACCAGCTGTGAATGCCTGACGACACGTTCACTATCCGTCCTTGAACGCCTGCTGTCTTTGCCGTTTCAATCATCTTCTTCACCAGCTGCTTCGTCAACAGAAAATGACCTAGGAATTCCAAAGACAAGCCTTAGCTCTAAAATTTTACACACCCCTTTTATGTATGTATATGTATGATTGTAATCAAAATTTACCTAAATAATTGGTAGCAAAGGTCATCTCAATTCCATCATCGGAGATTGCGTGCTCGTATGAGAATTTGCCGGCGTTGTTACTGATTTCAAGTAGAAAAAATGAATCAAATTGAAAGAGGTGACATCGGACTATATCTCTGAGACTGAGTATATAGATACAGACAAGTGACAAACAAGTTTTTTTGGAGTTACATGAGGAGATTGAGAGGCAAATTGAGAGAGATAAACTCTGCAACGAAGCTTCGGACCGAATTGAGAGAGCTGAGATCGAGAGCCAAGACGAAAATCTCCGAATCAGGAAACTCCGATACTATACGAGCCTTAGCTTCCACCGCTGCTTTGAGGTTCCGAGCCGGAAGGACTAGCCTCGCGCCGCGTTTAGCTAACACTCGAGCCGTCTCGGCTCCGATCCCTGACGTGGCACCTGGTGAACCACACGATCAAAGCCGTAGTAATTAAACACATTTTGAAACTAATCAATTATCAGTTTGCATGTGATTGATGAGTAGGATTGATGAGATTACCGGTGATGATGGCGGTGAATGAACGGAGATTAGGACAGTTCTCAGTGACTTGTTCGGCGGTGGACTTGGAGCCATGGCCGCTTGGGCCAGGGGAGCCGATCAGGTATTTTACGGTTTCAAGCATTTTCTGCTGTTAATTTTTGTTTGTCCTCTGCTGCTAGTATCCTTGTTTTTTTTTTTTTTTGTGTGAATTTTTATTCTACCGGCCATACATACCTTTGGTTCATAACTGCGGCGACTGTTGTTGACTTGATGGAACCTAGAAATTAGCCCTGCATGCACTTTGCGGCTACTTGAGTCTAGGTAGGAGTGGCTGGTGTCAGGTTTTGCAGGCAGCTAATTATTTGTCTCCTGTACGTTGTTCAAGAAGGGAGGGGGGAGAGAGAGAGAGAGAGAGAGAGTTAATAGCCAAGGGAAAAGAAAGGTGGAGATGAGATTTTACAAGATAAAGAACAGGAGAGAGGATAGATTGCTTCGTTGGGATAAACACCAATGCTATTGGGATAAAATTTCGTGGTTGGCTTTTATTATACAATCATCCACATTATTTGATTTTTGATTCACAGTATTTATTGCCTTTAACTCAAAATTTATGTCTTGATTTTTTTTCGTTTTTTCTTTCTCTTTTTTTTTGTTACAAAAGCAAGAATAATGAACACTTTTCATCAATACAATCATGAAATTCTTCATTAGGAGTTTCGGGTTTATCTTTGACAAATATTTTTTGAACAAAAAATATTGTTATTTTTTATTGAGACTAGTGAATGGATAATGAGTATAATTAAACGTTGAGTTTATCATTAAATTAATGACGATGATATTTAAAATTAATAAATATTATTAATATTTTTTATTCAAGTAGCATTGCTCTTGATTTTTATGTCTTCCCACTCCCATTAGGGGTTATATTATGCCCTTTTTTTTTCTACATAGCAGAATTTTATTTTGTAAATTGTTTAGATTTTATTGTAATAATAATTTATCTAATATTATAGTTAAGAAGTAAAATTCTCAACTTATAAAAATACATTAACAGTTAAAATTAATCTAACTTTTATCCAAAAAAAAATTTTCACTTAAAAGTATCATTTTCATTGCACAGACCTTAAGGTCAAAGAATCTAATCAATTCACAAGTATATCTCTATTCTCTCTCCTCTTATCTCTATTTTTTTTTTATTCATTTAATTTTAAATTACGTGATTAAAGAAAAATGAATAGATTTTAAATATTATATAATAAATATTCAATTTCATGTATTTTCAGACATGAAATTATTTGTAATATACTAATAATTGCCTATACTTTCCGAGTTATTGTTCTCATGTAAATCAAATTCTTGGAGGGGATAATTATTGTCCTTAGATTTATCTCTTAGTGGCAAGTGGTCCAACACTAGTCAAGTGTAAACGGGAAAACTACCAGTTTATGTGTGTGTTTTTACCTTAATCGAGAGTTAAATTTTTTTGTTACTTTCCAATCATGAATGCAACGATTTTGATATGAGCCCAAAGGTTGATAAAACTAAAGAAACAATGAAATTTCAGCTTTTTAGTGTACTGCTTTGCTTTTACTCCCGTGACTTCATGTGGGGGCCTCTGTTCTTATTATGTCCATTACTACATATTTTGCTTGTTTTTTACCAGATTAAAAATCCTTGTGCCAAGTATCCAAAAAGTGTGTATCAAATCTTTCATCCGAAATAATGTATAGTATCCATTATCATATAAATACGTCAAGATGAATACCCCCAACCTCAAGATAACTCTATTTAAACATAGCAAACACGGTATGTATTCAAATAAGCATATTTATATATGGGTCGGACTTAGATTCAACAAGTTTTGACAATTATGACTCTTGCGTCACCACCAAACCCCAGTAAAAACCTTTATCCAATTAGTTTGTGTTGATATTATTTACATTCAAATGCTTTACTAAATCATAATTTAGTATCTGAAGTTATTTTTGAGTGCCCAGAATATTAGCTGTATATTTACAATTCTTTTGTGTGCCCTTTTTTTTTTCCTTCCACTAAGCCAAAAGTGGAGAGAAAGCTTCTCTTCTTATCCTCGAGCTTGAAAAGTTGTGAGTGCTTCGTGCCACAACTTTTCATTAAATTTTTTTATTATATAAATTTAGTTGCTTAGGATCTCTGAAGAAAGGCACCTGTAGCCAGCCGGTCAGCCTGAACTTGAAAGTTTCTAATTAATTAAGCTTTTTTAATCTTCCACATGTACCTTGAGGAATGCACCATTTATAATGTAGGTTTGACTGAAATAAAGACCAAGTTTAAACAAAAAGCAATCAAATGTTCATGATGCAAGTTTGACTGTAACAAACATATGAAACCATAGGGGAAAAAAAAAAGAAGATAAATTACACTAATGGTCCCTGTGGTTTAACGTTAGTCGTATTTTAGTCTTCAAAGTTTTAATTTCGTAAATTTGGTCTATAAGATGTTCACACATTTGGTTAATGTCGTCCTTCGCACTAACTTCCATCCAAAGTGATGAAAAATGTCACATGCTTGACACATGAGAGTATTGATAGATATTTTTGTCAATATATACTCAAAATATTATGCATAAATGAGAAAATAAAATAGTCTCACACAAAGATAAAAAAAATATTATCTCATCTCTCTCTCCAACCTCATCTCTTTTTTTTCTATCGACGACCACCCAATCTCTCTCTCTTTCTTTTTCTCTCTCTTTGTGTATGTAAAACTCCACCGTTGAAATCGATCGCCACATCCACCACTGTTGGAATTGACCGTTACTATCCACTACTGCTAGAATCGACTGCCACCATCCACCATTTGTGGAATCGATCACTACCACTAGAATCTATCCTCTCTCTCACTCGTTATCTCTTTCTCTTCTTTCTTTTTTTCTTTTCTCTCTCTGCCCTCTTACATTCTCGGTGCCTCACACAAAAATACAGTACACATCCTAACCTAAACAGCCATTGCAAAACCCATACGCTTGACACCAATTCTATCAACCCACTTGAATATGCTCCCCCCTGCCACCCCCACCACCAACAGTTTTCTCTATTCTACCCCTATCCCATTGCTCATCACTCCACCCCTAAAATTCTCGTTGATTTTTTATTTTATTTTTTGGTTTCGATTTTGATTTTGAATTCAAACTTGATTTCATTATATGATTTAATTTTTGATTTTGATTTCAATTTTGTTTATCATTCTATTTGTAATTGTTTTTAATTTGGATAAAAATTGTATTAGTAGGCAGTGGATCAAGTGGCAGTATTGGTGGTGTGTGTAATTATGTTTTGCATGAAACGAGAGAGATAAATAGTTGTTGGGTTTGATGCGTCTGAGCGTTTGTGTGTGTGACTAGGAATTTGTATTGTGGGTGTGTATTTGTGGTTTTTTGTTAAGGTTTCTAAGGGAGAGAGAGTCGTGTTGCGTTTAGGGAGTCGAGACACAGTAACGAGAGAGACACAAAGAGAGATGTATGTCTCTGTGTGTGAGGAAGTTAAGGTTTCTGCGAGAGAGAGAGAAAAGAGAACAAAGAATGAAGGATAAATAGCTATTAAAAACCAACACTACAAGAAAATTATTTTTCAGTGATGAGTTTTGGTGACAAACAATAAAATTAGTGGCCAAAAAATTATTTTTGGTGACAATTTTAAAAGTTTATCGCAAAATTTTTTTAATGATTTTTTTGGTAACAATTTTTTTTTAGTAGTTGCCAAAAGCCTTGGCAAAAATTTTGCCACCAAAATATTTTTCAACGAATTTTATACTTTTAGCAGCCAATTTTTTCATCACCAAAAATCAAATTTTTTGTGGTGAAAAAACATCCCTTAAATCTCTCATGTGCTAAACACAACCTTTTTCATCTATTATTTGGACGACAGTTAGGGGTAAGGATTAAAGTGAATCAATGTGTTCAAATGGAGGATGAAATTAAAAATTTAAGGATGAAAATGCAATAAATGACAAACTTAAGGCATCATTGGTGCAATTTATCCCAAAAAAAAAAAAAACCCACTGCATTGACTGTCACTGGAAGTCATGCAAGGTACACAATTTGAGGAGAAACAGGTAGGAGTGCAACTTGGACGGGTTGGACAGTCAAATCTAATTCAACCCTAAGTATATATCTCTAAGTCTAACTCTAACTTTAACCTTAATCCTACATCAGGTTAAAAAACTCAATCTAAGCACTGCTCGAGTTTAATTCGGACGAGCTCAAATTTAATTCAGGTTAATAATATTGTACTGATTTTGAGTTATTTTGCGAGTTGATTTCGGGTTACTTCAATCAAATTTTTAACATAAAAATCATATATTAAGAACTCAATGACAGAGATAATGTAATCATAATCATACAGAACACAAATAAACACAACCAAAATTCTTGCACAAATATAGAGTTCACTGCTTAAACAAAAAAGGTAAGACATTCAATTGGATCGAGTCATCACTCTTTTCCACATAAAATTATGATTGTAGAGGAATGTTTAGCATTAACAGCTTAGCTTGGTAGAACAGAACTAAAAGATAAACGTCCAAATGGCAAAACACTGGAAAGTACTAAAAGGACCCAAGATTTCTCATATGATTATCCTAATTGGTTCGGAATGACCATTTCAATGCCTTTAGCTGCCGGAGATTATTTGGAGTTAAAATATAAAATTATTGGTTATAGTTTGTACCTGAAGGCACATAGTAATAAAAAATAATAAACAATAAACATATTTGTATTCATATCCAAAATTAAATCACAAACATAAAAAATAGATAAAAGAATTTAAGCATCGGTTTAGAAGGAGAGTGAGAGGTGGTGGGCAACAATAGTGGTAATAGGAGACGGTGATAGTTGTGGTGGGTGACAATGACCGTGGTGGCAGCGAGGACAACAACAATAATGGTGGTGATGGTGGTTGTGGCAGCGACGACGATGGTAGCGACAATGAGGGTGTTGGTGACGACGGCAACGACGACGGTTGTAGTGGGGGTGGGGGCGACAATGGCGGCGATGATGGTGGCGGCGACAACGGCAGCGGCGATGATGGTGGCGGCGACAACGGCAGCGGCGACAACGGCAGCGGCCTTGGTGGTGGTAGTGGTGGCAGCAACGACAGTGGCGATAGTGGTGGCAGTGGTGATTGTGGCAGCAACGACAGTGGCGGTAGTGGTGACGGTTTCAAA